CTCAATTGTGAACACTTCCCGCGTGTTCCCTGTGCCACAGCCGCCAGTAATAGCTGTGGAGCCCACTAGCAAAGTGCATCTCGCTTCCCCCCTCCCCAGGCTGATTTATACAGACAAGCCTCCTGCCTACACTGGCTATTTGGGTCAGGCCAGTTCACAGGGGTTCAAGTTGTGCATCTTGGGCTGCAACTTTAGATGCACAGGAGAGCACAAGATCTACCCTGCCCAGCCCCTGGTAGGATACCTGGGCCTTGCACAGAGGCAGCCAGAGATGAAGGCCTGAAGAAAGCTTCAGGGAAAGAAGAGCCCAAGATTCTCACTTGGCTGCAATCTGTGTGGAGGAGAGGGGCAATCAAGGGGCAGGGGGAACCTGCCTGAAAAGGTGCATGCCTCAGAACCTGCCAAAGCACCAAAGAAGCCTTTGCTCAAGCAAAAGACCCCCTGACATCGGGAACAAGCAGCTCTCAAGGACAAAACATCTGTGTTTATCTTGTGGTGGATGTGAAGTTCCCGTCTGCCTATTTGTTCCAGCTCCTCAAGCCTGCCAGGCCTTTATTGCATTGCTTGTTTGCATTGCAGCAGGGTCTGGGCACCCTATAAAACCAAACAGAAAAGCAGAAGCCTTATGCTAAAAGAGACAGCCACTGCCCTACAACACTTAGCAACCAAGTACAACCTTGGCATGCAATAGCCATTTGTGGCCCTGACCTTCAGGATTTCGTGTTCCCCTGCACCCCCCACCACAGAATTCATCATCAATGCAACTCTGGGACAGGACTTGGAGAGTCAGGGAAAGGTTTTAAAGTAAATGGGACATGGGAGAGAGGGTCTGGCACCTGTGGCAGACTTGCATGAGGCTATAGAACTTGACCTGTCATTTCACTTGGATTATGGTACTTTTAGACTCGGTTCAAAAACTGCACAGGAATTTTGTATTTGGTTCAGTGCTTGTTCTCTGGACACCATGCCTGATATCTTCCCATCATTTCCCCTTTGTTCAGTTCTAATGTTCATGTTAATTTTTTTTTTTTTTAAATAAAAGTGTTAGCACACTATTCTAGAGGGTGCACTTTAATTTTTTTATTTTAAAGAGATTTTTCCAAGTCTGGAGGCTCACAGCTGGAACACCACTAAAACTCAGCCCCTGTCAGGAAGTCCCATGCTGTGTGCAGTTGGTGCCTTTCAGGTAATTATTCAAATCCTTCTGACATTATAAAGACCAGTGACAGTGTCACACAAATGCTGTTTAGTTTGCTTTCACCCTCATTTCAGGTATTCACAGAGCTGATGTTCTGGCGCTAAGAGCCAACAGCTTGGGGTGATCTCAACTGCTGCTTTTAGCTCAGCAGAGCCTCTTCAGAGTTCCCTCTTGCAGTCAGGCTAATCCCATTTAAGCCATCTCTCAGAATGATTATTGCCTAATGAGATCCAGCTCCTTTCATCCTGTATCTGGGATTGATTTTCACATGTTAAATACCATAGCCCAATTTCTGCTCTCCATTTAACTGAGAATGAGCATGATTGTATCTCACTACAGGCAGAGTTTGACAGAGTGGCTTTTCTTGTTCCAGTTATACCCAATATTTTTGGTACTTTACTTGGAATGGGCTGGGGAGAGAGGGAAGAGGAAGAGGCACTGAGATTTGTTCTTAAATGGGCTGAGTACATCACAAAGCTGGCTGGATTTTTTCCTTAACTCCCAAACCTAGAAGAGAATGTGTTTCAGACATGCTGAAGACACCCCTGGATTTATATTACACAGTGAAATAAATTTATCAGCTTGGCTAGATCATAAGCCAGTCCCTTTACAGAACAAAATTTAAGCACATTATATTGTACAATGAACACCTTCCATTTTTCACTCTGCCTCTTCTCATCTTTACTACCTACATGCAGCTACTTATAGCTTTGGGAGATTTTCTAGAAATATACTCTTATTTTAAGCTTTCATGTACTCTACACCGCTATAAAGCAAATTCGGCTTTTCAACCATCTACATCAAAGCTTTAAAGTGATCGAATCCAACTATATTTGTCCTCCCCCCCACACCCCGGCTTTCCTGTCTTCAGAGGGCTGATTTATCAGAAGAAAATATTTCAGTCAAGGCACAACAGGCTTGTACCTAGAGAAATAAAGGGTACGGCAGAAATAAAGTACATGGCAAATCATCCACGTGTTCATTACTGTGGTTATAGACATCCAGGAGCAGCAGGGTCTGTAACCAAATTTCAGCACACTTGTCAGAACCCAAAATTGAACCCAGGAGTCCCAAATCTCTCCATTTCCCTGCCATCGGGGAGGAGCCTTCCAGTCCACTGGCAAGGGCTGCATTTCATTCCCCTCTAGCAATTGGTCCATAAAGAAGATAATAGCCACCTACTGCTACTCTGTTAGCTCAAAAAGCAAGTTTACATTGAGAAGTTAAGGAGTCCAACTCTGTTGCCGACCTGTAGGAGGGTCTTGGAGTTCCCTGCAGCAGCATCTGCCTTTTAAAGTGTGAGGCATTGTATAACCCTACATTACAAGGACACCAAGACTGCAAAGACAATCCCAGCACCAAGAGGCATAATGAATTAGGATACTGTCCGCAATGGAAGGGAAGCATCTCCCCCGCCATCAGTGCACTTGTGAGCATTGCTCTGGATAGACTCGGGGCCAAGTAATAACTGAGGCCGTTTGTAGCTCACCTGCCTCATTTGCTGCAGAAATGAACCAGGGCACTGCAGGAAGAGAAAGAATGGCCTCCTGGTTAAGCAAATAAATGCTTCTGGGCATAACTGTTTTATTCTAGTCTAGGCCTCAGTGCTTGTGAGACCTTGGGAAGCCACTTTAAAACAAATATTTTCCAAGTTGGTCACAAAGCCTGCATGTTCCTTATTTTCTGGAAACTTAACTTGAGACACCCGAGGTCAGAGTAGAGGTCAGCACGCTCAGTGCAGCTTCAGCTCTCACTGAAGAGTCAGGATTGAGGTCACACCACTTGTGTACCCAGAATTAGTTGGTACTTTTGACTATTTTGGCTTTAATCTGTGCACCAGTTTTTACTGCACCTTGGCAGGAAGTGTCTTCTATTTTAAGTATAGGAAGATAAATCCCTTCACATCTGTAACGCTGAGGTAGCACGATGAAGACATCGTGGAAAAGCATTTTGAGCGAGCTATTCCACAAGAACCACCTACCCTGTGTGCTCAACCAAGCTCGGAGGCACGCGTCTTTCCTGCAGGCACACATTTCACTGGGGTGTTACGCAGGATTGAAATGATTGTTTTCCTTTAAAAGCCAATTTGTTGTTTGGAAAAAAAAAAAATCTCAAGCTAATTCAGCCTTTAAAGATGTTTATCATTTGCCATTTCCTAATTAACTTATAATTAGCTACAATTAAGTGTGCAACACAATTAAGGGGAATTGAAGCCAGAATATTAAATAGGGGTTTTAATATGTGGCAAGAGATTATGCTCATAGGATACAATATAGAACTATAATTCACTTCAGTTTAAAGGAGCACATGGTTCTTGGCCTGCCCAGGAAGTTCTCCAGCTCTACTACAGGAGAGTTTTCCCAGCCACAGGAAAACGGATCCATTTTCCCCATGTAGACAAGCTTCATAAGGCGGATTACGAGATGCAGCCTACCAAAAGGGGCACGTCAGGGCTCTGCCTAGACTAGGCTAGTTTGCCCTTGGTTAGGAGCACTTGCAGAGCAGCGTGGTAAGAGACTCGCCCATTAAGTACCTCTGCCTGTATTGAGGATCTCAGGAGCAATGCTATTTCTCTTTTCTGTAAGCAGAGGCACTTCTCATCTATTCCCATTTTGTACATTTGCTGCTATAATGACTTTGGCATTTAGACTTCTTTGCTGTTTGTGAGCTGTTAAAATTTACCATTGTTTTAGTACTGGAGATGAACCTGGGTAATAGGATGTTTGCTCTTACCTGTTGGCAGGCCTGTAATTTGTGCTCAGAGTTAGCGTTACCACAGAATTACACCGTTACCCGGAGAGGATACAAACAGTGCATTAGACCAGGTTGCAAATGAAATGCAATTATTTATTGCAAAAGCCAGCTTTTCTTTTTCATTACTCCGAGTTTCAGAGTGCTTTCACACACCAGCTACAGCTCATCGCTTTTGTTATTAAACTGTAACCTCTCTTGTAGTATCATTAAGGAGCTAACCAGCTCTTAGAAAGGAGAATACACAAGTCAGTGTTCTTGCAATAGTAGACATTGCTGAGCATGGTCATCACAAGCAAGCTCAGTGCTCAGACTTAGGCTCCTGTAGCTGCATTGGGACACTCGCATGCCATTTTCAGCAAGGTGACAAAGGAAGAAATACTACAACCAGAATACTCCAGTACCAGCACATCCATGCAACAACTTTTTGTCCTAGGAGTGCCATTCACCCCTGCAGCCAGCTCTCCAATTCCAACAGCTTTTCCTCTGCTCCAGAAAAGAGCACCAAAGCCCTCAAAGAGAAGCCACCCTAAAGCCTTACCATCACCACCATCAAGGAATCCATGCCTTGCCCCACACCCTCCTGTCCCTCTAACACACAGTGGGTTCCCTTCGCTATCTCTAACACAGTCTAGTTAGCTATTGCCCACTTAGCTGCTAGATAGAGAACACCACTGTCCTTTCTCCTGGGCCCTACATAGGTTCCCTAGGATAACATTTAACAAGGCATTCTCAGCTACTTTAGGATAAGCCTTTACTTCTGTTCATGGAGAAGCTGTTTGACTTCCTAGACTAGTAGCCAACCACAGTAGAGCTCACAATAAGGATCCTTAGCATTTTCCACTGCCCTAGCCCTTCCCAGGTATCAACTCACCCTCTGTTCCTGGGGAGCAGACTTCCCCAGCTTTTCCAGAGCCACAAGAAGGAGACTAGAAACTCACCAGCCAAGTAAGCCAGAAACAGCTGCTGGTTGCAAAACCCATGCTTTAAAGCAGCAGCTGTTTGCCGCTGTAAAATTTAAAGGGACAGCCCTCCAGAGGAGCATGCTGGAGGTAAATTGGTAGAAAAGGGTAAGTGAACAGTGTAAAGTGAGGAGCTCTGGGGAAGTAAAATGTTTTGTTAGAGTAGTAAGCCTTCTGGTAAGGTTGTAATCTCACTTTGTACGGGGATAACTGATTTGTAGGGATGGGTATGTGCTGTAGCTCACCTAAGGCTACTAGCTAGAAACTGTGATGATCAAAGTAGGAACTTAATTCATAGCTGTGTACAGCAAGTCTCTCTTTTCCCCTACTCGTACCTCTTTCTTTCTCTCTTTCTTCTCTGGTAATACCATGTAGTGAGCCCTTGCTCCACCTTATCAATAATCAATATTTCCCTTCAGAGAAAATTCCAGCTGCTCATTCAGTGTAATAAAGCAGTTTAGGAGGCATTCACTGCTTCTAGTCCTGCCCGTGATATCTATTCCTAGCCCGCTGACAGAAAGCCTCCTGCCTTGAGTCCCGATGGTGGCTGTGTTTTGATAGCATCTGTACAAATCTTCCGAGTCTTTAGCACAAGCAATTGCAGGAGGCTGTAGTGTTTAACTACATGTGGCTGGTTGTATTTCTAGTTTTCCCTTTGCCTGCTGCTGCCCTGACTGTATTTAGCAGCTCTGTGCTTTGGTGTCTGTTTTTCTGTCTTCTAGTGTGTATCTACAGACTTGGGAGCACTGTCTGCCTTCCTGTGGGTTGCATGGGGGAGCTCGGGTACAGTGGTGAATGCAAGCTCTCTAGGCTGGAGGAGATGACAAAGAAGGATCCTCTACTTCTAGGGTGGCGAAGTGCAGGTGTAAATTGTGTGTGTGACTATCCTTGGTAGCACTGCTGTGTAGGTGCTTCTTGGAACCGGGTTTGGGCAGGTCACGCAGCACAGGCTCTTCTAGCTGGGTGACCCAGGGCAAAGGACTAAATTTGGGAAATCAGTTTTCACTCTGGAAAGTATAGTGTCCTCAGGTGGCTTCAATCAAAGTCAATAAGGCCCTTCACAGACACGAGTGGGCTGGTGTGGAGTGGAGCCTTCAAGCAGGTGGATGCACAGGGTGAAAAATTCAGGAGAATATGCTGAAGAAAAAAACCCTATTCCGTGAGCTGAAAACAGTGGTTTCATTTTAATGATCCAGGCCATAAAATGGGTTACCCTGTACTTTGCTGGAGTGACAGGTTTGGATGTGCCCTTGTTCTGTATGCAGCGGCTGTTTCTGTTGGAGCACCATGCCTGGCTGCTGGAAGAGAAGACCTCTCGAGGTAGGTGCAGATGTGCTCTTCCCGGTCCTACACCTGCTGGCTACCCAAAAGGGGTGAAGAAAAGTCCCTGAGGCAGCTGGCAATTTTGTGATGAGCTGCATTTCTTTTTATTTAGTAACAAATCCAATTTATCGAGTGACAAATTTTAACATTTTAAGGGCACATCCAATCCCCTGAAGTGTATATATAAAATGGATATTTATCTTTCATCAACAGTGCTCCCTTAACCCAAGCTGATCTCCACAGAGGAGAGTCTTGCACTCTCTTCTCCTCTTCCTTTCAGTCTTCTACAGCTCCTTTACATTTCGTAGTCAATGTTCAGCTTTTGTGTGTCTTTATCTTTATATGTGACCTGCTTAATAATTCACCCCCTTTTTTCCTGAGAGTTCTGCATAATACAAGGCTCACTATCTTCTACCCATCTCTGCTTTTAGATTTCATTTCAAATTTGCTCTTAACTGATGGCTTATAAAACTTGCACCATCCTTGAATAGTCAAAAGTTTTTTTCAAAGTTTCTGGTTTGGAGGCAGGGGAAGACTCTTTTTTTTTTTTTTTTTTTTTTTTAAAAGGCGTGGGGGAGACTCTTTTTTTTTTTTTTTTTTTTTTTTAAAAGGCAAAAAAGCTGTATTTCCATTTAGATACCGAGACGGGTCTGCATTGTAACCTTCTGAGGCTGGAAATACCTGCAACTACTCTGAATAAAATGGGGCTTAACAACTCTGAATTGCCGTACATGTTTTGGGATGTATGGGGACAACAGTACAGGTCTAGATGCCGATTGGACTGGAACAATATTAATCTTGCTAGCGGGCTGCAGTACTGACAGTTATAATCTGTGGGTGTCTTGGAAACTAGTTCAACAGATTAAAGCAGGCTGGTGTTTGTGGGTATGCAGATTGGCTGGGGGTGGGGGTTGTCTGAGGCTGGATAGGCACTGCTAGCAGCAGAACTTGGCACCTCGCATATGGTGTCCAGATCACATACCACATGTTAATCTTCCAGTATGTGTTTGTGTAAAAAGACTTGGAGTTTATAGGCTTCTGACAGTACTCAGACAGTGGAAAGCTTTTTTTCTTAAATTGGCTGCTGATGCCAAGTTTTATGTCCAGCTATGGGATCCAACCAAGAGGATGATTATCCTTGTCCAATGGCACGTTGCATCTTGGTTTTCTGTTGGTGCCTCTGCTTCAGGATGGGTCAGTGTCCTTATTCTCTGATCCCGCTCCGCTGTGCTACTCTGAGGCTCAGGTACCGCGTCTCTGCTTGTTGTTGTTGTCAGTCTTCCCTCTGAGTAGAACCAACTTTGCTATGCACCCACTACTTCACATTGCAAGAACCAAAACAGATTAAACATTATTTGTGATGATGCAAAGCCATGTGGCTCAGTTCTCTCTTCCTTATGGCTTGCTTTCTGAACGTCTTTTCACAGCATCTGATGAAGTGAACTTCAGCTCATGAAAGCTTGTGCTATCTATCTACTAGTCTATAAGGTGCAAATCTTCCCTCCTTTCTACTTGACATCAGACCAGCACACTACTATGTCTCAAGGCCAACAAGCAGCACCTGACTTTTACTGGGTATCTGACAGAAGAGTTGGAGCAAAGGAGATTAGGAGATGTCCATGAACTTCTCTGCTCGATCCTGCCTGTGCATGGGGCGGGGGGCACTTCGTTTTGGGCTTCTGTACATTTCCCATTGCCACCTGTCTTCCGGCTGCTTCCCTTTGACACAGCTGGATGCGTCACTACCGCGGTCACCTTCGCCCCCAGCTGTCTGGCTTATCAGCTCGTTATCCTAATGCTCAGTTAAGTGTCTCTTTACATTAATTGATATCTTTCCTTTGAATCTGTTTGATGCATTTGTAATGTGTGAATAAACCTGGACCTTTTGTTGAGTCATTCCAGTCTACAGACACAGCTGTTCTTCTGTATTTGTATCTCTCTTGCACGGCTGCCCTTGGTCTTCAGTCCTTGTTTTCCCTAATGAAGCTATCTTTACTTGTCAAATGAAAAGCATAGAGAGGTATAAATACATGCTTTCCCCTAAATTAATTTAAACCACTTTGGAACAAGCCCTGCGTGTCACTGGGTAGCAATGGAAACCCCAGTAGTAGTTGGAACCAAATGCTATTGGGTTACATAATAGACCCATGAATTTCAGGGCCTGATGTGAACCTTCTGATAACTTAGTCCAACCTCCTGGCCGGAGAATTTCAGTTGCTGATTTCTGCAGCAAATCTTTAACTTCTGGCTGTGTTAGAGCAGGTTTGAAGAAAAAAATGTACTCGTGATTTAAAGACTTCCAACGGATGGGCAGCCCACCACATGGCTGTTGAGTTTCTTCTATGGCCAGTTACTCTCGCTGTTAGGAATTTGTCATAAGGAAGAGTTTTTAGAAGATGTGATGGTGTCCTTGTGTAGCTTGGTGGCATGTCTTCGTGATTGTACTGAGACCAGATCTTGATTCATTTTTTGTCATCGTTAAGGCTACCAGCAGGCGTCTATTTGGCCTTTCATTAACAAAACCCAAATTACAAAGATGACATTTTATTTAGCCTCTGTTTTTTTGGGGTGGCATTTTATTTCATTTAATTTTATACAGCTTTCTATGGCCCAGCGTCTAGATGTTGAAATGATTTAAGGGAACTTCATTGCAGGAATCCTTAGAGAGCAAAGGCAGAAGTTAGTCACAGAATGTGTTTTAGAAATACAAGGTTTGCCTTTTACTTTCCAAGCACAATAAAATTTAAAAAACGAGGACTGCAAAACTCTGGATAGAGGTTGCCTAGCAAGCACTTTTGTTCCTTTCTCAGCTTAAGATTCCCAGGCTTTGCAGCTCACAAACCTGCTGTAGAGTGTTGCTAAATAAAATTTATGAAGGAATAAAACTCCAGACCCAACTCTCCTTCCTCCAGTAGTGCACTAAACGAGCAATAGTTGCTAGAAGCTAGCCCACGTGGGTTTGCCCTAGACTTCCTCCCAACCCATGCAGCGGCCAAAATGCTCACTCGCATCTCTTTGGCATAATTTGCGTTGTGTGTTCTCTTAAGATGCGTCGACTTGGCGCGGTGCAGAGCGGTCTGAGGTAGCTCGGGTACTGGAGGCGGGCGGCACAGTGCGCCACCTGAGAAGCAGGTGTGGGCCTGGGCAGAGCACTGCACTAATGCAGCTGTACTACTGCTAGTACCTCCTAGCTCCGGCATCTCTGCACAGTGCTGTACTGTGCCTCGTAGGCGTTATGTTTCCCACGTACCCGAGTGCTGAGATCCACACCTGTGCCCATCCTTCAGCTGAGCTCTGCCCCTTGCTCCGGTAGAAGTAAAAGTGCATGTGCTGGCCCAGAGTCTCCAGTGTGGCGAGGAGCCCCTGCCGTGGTGGCGGTAGGACTGTGCAGAAGCGCTCGGAGGGAGCTAGCTCACGCTGCTTCTCTTTGCCCGGTATGGGAGCAGAGGGGAGGCTTTCAGCAGCAAGGCCCAGGTGCCAGGTGCTGTAAATCCAGGGTAAAAAGACAATTCCTGCCTCGAGGAACGTCCAGTCTACATAGACAAGAGGCAGCAGATGGAAACAGGTGTGGGGAATACACAAGGTATTGAGACGGTTCGTGTGATAGGCACCAGATGAGACCACTCCCCAAGTGTGGTTGGGCTTACATTGAAAGGCAGAGAAGATGTCACCTCTTGACCAAGTGAGTTTTACTGGGGCAGGGGGGATGTTATTCACCGTAGGCAGGCTGTTCTCCACATGCATGGTCTATAGCTCTCAGCAAGGACCTGAAAGCCTGTTGTTTATCTGCACCCTTTCCCATCTGATGCAAGAAGATAAAGCTGCTATTCCCATTGTGCTGTAGACAAAGCACCATCTTCCTCGGGAGGGAAAACTAAATGCCTTAACTAAATTCTTCATCAGTCTGAAGTCTGTGGCATTGTTTTTTTGCTGTTCTCAGGCAAAACAAAACCCAATTTTAAACAGGAGACTATAGAACAAGAAATCGCCCACAGACTGGACTGTGTTAAGTGTGGTTTAAGCAGGGACTTTGGATTCTAATCTCGTTACCTGGATTAGTTTGTGTGATTTGCTACAGGTTTACTGCTCCTTAGCTTTTCTCTCCTAGCACGGCCCCCCATATCTCTCTCTCTCTCTCTCTCCTTGTCTTTTGTGTTCTAATTTCTCTCCTTATACTGCACTTTCTGCAAGTCCTTCCACAGTGCTTGATGACATGAACTTGGGCTCACAAAAGCTTGTTTTCTCTATATGCGTATCTTAGTTAGTCTGTCAAGGTGTATATCTGCTCTGCCTTCTGTTTTTTACTGCAGCACAAAAACCAGCTCTGAAATATGATTGGAGGGAGAGCCTGAAGTCGGGCAGAAAACAGGGCAGGATTAAAGACTAACTTGGTCAGAAAGTTAAGGTGCCGCCCTGCCCTGCCTTCTGCCTGAAATAAGGTTGTATTGGCACGTTGCAAAGAGAGCGCAGCTCGGTTCCATGCTGGGGCATGACGACGCCTGCTACCTTTGTCAGCGCTTCATGCTGACCTGGGCCTAGCTGTAGCCATCTCTAGAGGACTCAAGGTTTTGGATTTCCTTCAAGAGTTACTTTTCTCATGGGGCAGTGATTTGGAGCCCCAGGCTTCCCCCAAACAGCAGATGAGCTACGATGATCAAAGCCATAGTGGATGTTAATTCTATTGGGCTCATTAGTGTTACATTGGGAAATTGGCCCCACTGTATATTGGACACTAAAAACGAGGTCCATATCCCTTCAAATCGGATCATACTTGCACAGTACGTTATCTTGGAACGTGCCAACTCGTTCATTCCCAGATCTTTCCACTCTAATTTGTTTGCTGATTTCCACTTCAAAATAATTCAGCAGCTGCTTGGAGGATGAGCAGCTCCTGCATCTTGCTCAAAGCTGAGATGTTCTCTGTTTTAAAGTATCTCTGGCCATTCAGCATGTTGCAGGTGAGATCCACTTGAACTAGGATCACATCCAAAGTGTGCCGGCATTAATCTCCCATTGAATCGGGTTGAATTCACTCTCCAGAAAAGGGATGGGCAACCTTTTTCTAGCTGCAGGCTGGAACAACACATCCCGAGTCAGAGCCGAGTGGGGCTTGCTCTTTTCCTTTTCTAACATGGCTGCTGCCATTGGCGTTCCTCTTTCCTGCTCTTCTGGACCAGTCGGCCTCACCTCAGTCCCCAGAAAAGCCATGGAGCAGGTCGCCAAGGGGTCCATTTCTAAGCATTTAGAGGAGGAGAAGGTGATTAGGATCAGTCAGCATGGATTCACCAGGGGCAAGTCCTGCTTGACCAACCTGATTGCCCTCTGTGACGGGATGACTGGCTCTGTGGATGCGGGGAGAGCATTAGACGTGATATTTGATTTCTTCTGGAGAAGAGAAGGCCAAGGAGGGATTTAATAGCTGCCTTCAGTCCCTGCAGGGGGGCTGCAAAGAGGACGGAGCTGGGCTGTTCTCAGTGGGGGTAGATGACAGGACAAGGAGCAATGGGCTCCGGCTGCAGCAAGGGAAGTTGAGGTCCTATATGAGGAAAAACTCTCACCAGGAGGGAAGTAAAGTACTGGAGCAGGTCACCCAGAGAGGTGGTGGAGCCTCCATCCTTGGAGGCTCTTAAGACCTGGGTAGACAAAGCCTTGGCTGGGATGATGGAGTTGGGGCTGGTCCTGCTTGGAGCAGGGGGTGGACTAGATGTGACCTCCTGAGCTCCCTTCCACCCTCATTTTCTATAACTCTATGGAGGAGGGTGCAAAGTATTATAGTCCGCCATCCTCTGCAAAGAGGATTTTAAAGGCTTGCACAAACAGTACTTTTAGTTGGGCAATGCTGAGAGTTGCAATTGTATTTCGTATGTCCTAGAGCTATAGATGGCGTCCTCACACCCATCCCTGCAACCCTCCGGACCTCTCCTAGAACATGCAAGAGCTATTGCTGGTGATGCTGGGAACAAGGAGCTGCAAGTGCATTGACAGGAATGATTGCTACATTTATACCGCTCTTTACCGTATAAAAATAACTGCTCTAGTTTCTCCCCTCTTGCTTTATACTAGTAAGTCTAATATGGCAATTTTAAGAAGCATGCTATTCAGAATGACAGATCAGATTTCCTCAAGAAACTGCACATCAGAAAAGAAGCAGTTGTTTAAAGTATATATAAAGCCCTGTCTGTACCAAGTCGTCTTGCTACCTGTTTTGCCTGGTAGCGGTGTCCACAGGACTGGGCTAAGCAGTGGAGTGAAGGAATTTTTTTGCATGTGCCTCATTCTCTTTTTTTTAATGTGGTTTTGCAAAGTTTGATTCATCAAACCAAAGTGGCAACTCTGCCCCATTTAGCCCACTGATTTTTCTCCAGTTCACTTCAGCAAATGGATGATTTTCCATGTTGATGTCAATTCAGTGGTTACGTATAGCTTTGTTTGCTTGTTTTGTATTTCTGGGAGGACAGGGCGATATGAGGAGGCTGCTTTCAGATGGAGCCATTCCCAGCTGAGAACATCTGCAAGGTGTTCAAAGCAGCCAACGCAATTTTTTTTTTTTTAAGGCTGGTGCTGATGGATGCAGAAGGTGATAATAAGAGCAGACAGCATGCACAGACTTAAAAGAAGCCCAAACAGACTAGTATGCCTCAAATCAGAATATTGTCTGCCTGGAGGAGACTCTAAGCGTGGAAATGGAAACTATTGTCTGCTGTAGTGGACCACGAGCCGGGGCTCTGAGCTCTACTCCTTTCGCTGCTCTGTGGTGTGACA